TCCCTCCTTCTCCATCAAGTTGGCCAGCTGTTGATCCCTTCGGTTCCGTTGCCCAACTCCAAAATTCTTTTGCGTATCTCCTATCAACACCGTATATTTCCTCATAAATCTCCTACACCTCCTCGTAAGAATGTGCAGAGTTCAGTGCGTAAGCCTGTACGACCTTCGACGAACACCGTTTGGTGATTCTGAGTATAAGGTGCCCTTTTCGATACACTACCAATCATCACAATGTTTTTGACGAGTAACTTGTGTTTCCTAAGATCATGGTCACCCTCCCGGTGATAACACTATTTGCAGGATTTGAGGATTATACCGTATCCTCCCCTTGATAAATATTGCTAGTTCAAGTCGTCGAAGGTAGCTGAACCTTCACCGGAGATTCTTAGCAACCCCTAACCCGCCGTTACCATGATCGAAACCGTAGCCAGGAATAGCGGGGCAGACCGCGACTGTGAGCCGTTTTTTATGTAGTTCCTCATATATGGACCACATAAATATTTATATAAAAAATAGTTTATTTTGTAAAGTAACTTATTGTTTGTACTTTGAATTTTCCCAAATATTGTTTTCATTATTCAAAAGTATTTTAAAATAAACAGCTGATATTCACAAAAACAAATAGGATATTATTTAAAGAAATTTGTTATAAGAAAGGTATTTTATTATATTAAAGAATATAACTTACCGCCAGTACACAAGACTGTATAAATAAAATAAAACAAAAAATGCGGAAAATCATTTCTATGTTTTTGTTGAAGATGTTTTTACTTCTATCCAAAGTTCCAAAGCAGTAGCAACGAAGAATTTTGTGAGTGGTGTTTTATAAACTAACAACATTAGCATATAATTATACGCTGCTACATTTGTATAAAACTGATACATTAGTACAGTCGAACAGATAAATGTTAGAAAGAATGCGTTTGAATTTTCTCAGTTATGTTCGAACTTTGCATTTCAATACATACGAGTATCATTTCTTTTTAATATTCACCTATTACCTCATTTTGGCAGATATAAGTATAAAAAAATAAGCTATTGATAAAAAGTAAAAGCCGTACTTCAAAAACATAATAAAATAACAGCTTCAGTATCCATGCTAAGATGAATTAAAGCCGTTATTTCGAAACCTTGGGAGTAGAATTTTCTCTCTAAGATATTTAGCATCACCCATAAAGTGAAATAACTTATTTAATTTTACAGTAGACGTTTTATTATTTTATAAGGAATCACTGAAGTAGACTTTTTGAAGTGAAAACTTCTTTAGAATCGTCGTAATTTGAAACTCGATCAAACGAAACAGCGACAATAAAAAGAGACAAACATATACATCTATAGGGTTTAGCATGCGAGAGAATGAGATAAAATACAATATACAGTATTTCTGTTATTATGCATGTGATCTACAAGCAATAAGGGAATAAAGTTGATTAGAAAATATTAAGTCCTTGATGATGAAATTGAAAACCTGAAGTCTGTAAAATATGTAATGTAATATATGTAAAATAAAATGTAAAATGGGCAGCGTTCGGGAAATTACAACACATCTTCTCGTCAGGTATACCTCAAAACCTGAAAACGAAATTGTACAACCAATGCGTGTTGCCAGTGATGACTTATAGATCTGAGACGAGGTCCTTCACTGCCGGCCGTAAGAGGCGCTCAAGGTCGCTCAGCGTGCTATGGACAGGGCTATGCTCGGGGTTTTTCTGCGTGATAAACTTAGAAATGAGGATATCCGCAGTAGAACCAGAGTGACCGACATAGCCTAATGGATTAGTAAGCTGAAGTGGCAATTGGCCGGCCATATAGCTCGAAGAAACGACAACCGATGGGGAAAAAAGTTCTCGAGTTGCAGCCTCTTACTGATAGGCGAAGTGTAGGGCAACCCCCTACTAGATGGAGTGACGACCTAGTAAGACATGCAGGAAGTCGATAGATGCAAGTGGCTCAGGACCGTGCTTTGTGGCATTCCTTGGGGGAGGCCTATGTTCAGCAGTGAACTTGTTGGACTCTAATGATGATGATGAAATGGTAAAATAATTTTTAAACTTGGTAACAATATTATAATAAATAAACCGCACCATTATTTTACTACTGATACTCTGCATTCGTCTCATTCACTCGAAGTTTAGTTTTCTGAAGGTTTCACTTCTAGCTCGTGTAACTGCACGCATGTTTTTTTTTACAGTGTTGATAAACAAGTATCCAATTATAAACATGATAAATTATTTTTAGCGCTTTTTTTAATTACTTTAATGTTCATTTAATATGTGGCGGCGCTGTCATCGCGCCACAAGCAAAAACACATCGAAGCCTAAATCGCGCTAACAAAGTTCCGAAGTTAAAGCAGTGTATATAGAATAGCTCCGAACTACCAATCGGAGCGTTGGCCGCTATTCGATAATTCCGATAATTTTTAATATAATTATTAAAACAAATAATGGTAACTAACGAGCAGACAGTTCAACTGAAGGTAATTGGATGATGTTTTACAAAAACACTTTCATCAATACTCGATTATAAACCAAAATGCAGAAGCGTTATCACCCATGAGGATTAAGAGTATCCGCTTCTTGTCACTCACCATTTCAAACTGAGCAGCGAACGGATTTATGCCGCTGTTTCATGCTTATTATTATTCTGTACCCATTTACGGAACGATTTCTTTACTCATGTGGCTCATTAACATTCGTACTGCAGTATTCGTACAGCTGCAGTGTGGGTCGACTGCGTTAAAAATATTTTTTCATATAAAAATATGTTGCTACAAAATTTCTATATTGGTTGTCGTTAATATAAATAACCTTAAATAAATCAATTGATACAATTCACTTCAGAGTTCAGTATTACTGACGATAGCCAATTATTTTTTTTTTTTACTTAAATAGTACCTTATAGGCTGTTCCGCCCGTCGTATAAATTACATGACTATACAAATAAAAATAATAAAAGGTCTGAATGACTCACAATATCTGTCCTGTCGTTTTTCTAGATTTTGTAACGCTAAAGGCAAAACGAATATGGCAAGGCCTTTTTTGTTCAATATGAGACATCTTAGATCCCAATCTCCTTCTTCGCTCTCGCATCTGTATGATTTCAATGACTAACGCAGTTTCTTGTTAGGCGACTTCGTAAAAAGAGGAGGTTCCTGACTCCACTGTATAACTTCTCCAATTGTAAAACGGTTATAATGATTTTTAGATTTTAGCTTGTAGTGTAGTTTTAATGATTCTTATGGCCAAACATTCAAACGCTACTTAATTTTAAGATGTCGTTAAATCTCGTTTGTCACAGTCACTTTGACTTGAAGTGATAGAGACAGCATGAGACTTAACGGTATCTTCAAATTGAGCAGCGTTTGAATATTTGGGCAATAGCTTCACTTCAGTGGTGGCCCCATATAAATTTGAAAAAATGTATGTGGTAGAACCAAGCTGCAGCTATATTAGTTGTAGCACGAATGGGTCGGCTCGACCACGGTAGGATCACACTTACACTCTTACAGAATATCAACGTAAAATAGCAGCTTAATGCTGCTGTGTTTCGTATGGTTAGTGTAGAGAACCAGAGACCCTTTTTACTAGAAACGAGGCATTCCATCTTAGTCCTCAGGGGTGACAACGCATCTGCATTTTAATTCGCAAACGAAGATAGATGTAGATGTTTATGGGCCACAGTATCCACTTACCATCAGGTGGACTGTGTGCACGTTTGTCACCCTTATGCTATATAAAAAAATATGCAACCCTAAGGAAAGATTTTAATTCCTAAAGAAGATGTAGTTTTCTTAGCTTAGTGTGTCACGTCCATTTGGACATGACAATCGAACGTACAGTGAACCTGATTGTAAAGGGCTACTGCAGCCTCAAACAAAGAAGGCTATAGATGAATTGTCACTTTTGAGGACTAAGATAAAATGTAATTTTTTATGTTACTTTGTAGACGACATTCAATTTTCATTAGTCAACTCAAAAGCAAAAAACTAACGAAGTGCGAGTCGGACTCGCGCATGAAGTTTCCATATTTTAAAACACGTTTCTAGTAGAGAATCCCTCTTTAATTTTTAATTTATTTTTATTATTTGTTGTTATAGCGCCAAATAGCATTGCCTACATAGTCGTCACAATAATCATGATCGTGTTCTCCCATAAGATGGCCATCGAAGTACATTTTGTACTTTTGAGGATGCTCTCCTATCGCCTTTAAAAATATCCCAGGGCAACTTTTTTATCGTTTCTTCCAGCTTTAGAATCTTCTCATTAGTCTCCGGCTTGTGTAAGATATGTGCTGCATTGCCACTGCCTCGTAAGTCGTGGAAGATGGCAACCAAAACACGATTTCTTGTATTATTGATTATGGGGCATGGGTGCCATTCCACGCTTGACAAGTGGTTTGGCAACCACAGTACTTTTAATAAATTGTTATCATGAGGACGCTGCTGCCCACTTTGACTGAATATCCTTGTGTCACCTCTTACGGCGAACTGGATTTTCTTACACCGCCACTGCACGACAAATTTTTATGTTGCACTCGTCTAACCGCGCAACCTAGAATACGTATTCATCTAACTTTTAGAACTAACTCTTTCCTTTGCTCGCTAAGTGATTGAGCTTAATGAGTAGTCTTATACTTTTATTGTCCACATCATGACATCACATTATTTCAGTACCATCCTACATATCTCAATGTCCTACGGTATAGATAAAAAAAGAACCTGGCGAAGCTTTCAAAATCCATTCAAACCTACTTTAATCCGCCCTTACCTAAACTTAATTCCACCCACCTCTTTGAGAGACGCATGCTCCTATAAATTTCATAGTTTATCACCATCGCCATTAATAATGTTCGAGTTGAACCCGAGGTCGTGGTTTAATGAACCTCCGCTGTCGCTGTAGCAGTTTCTTGCTTTTCAATGCTAACTTTTTGAAGTTAATAAAACAAAATAAATAGATAAATAAGTATGTTATTATATTTAATATTTGTCTAGGTATTACATTTTATGGGAAAATAAAATTCGGTGGATCGGCTTCATACAGGCATTTCGTAGCATAGAAAATGCCTTCACAAGGATCGTCATATTTACTTTCTGCAAAAACAGCATATCATCAAGCTTATTAAAAAACATAATGACAGAAAAATAAAAGTTATAACTTAATACTTGATAACTGCATATAACTCAACACCCAAGACCACTTATACTATAAAATTAAACAGACAACACTTACGAACTTCAACGCAAACGGCCGTATTTTTCTTAACCGACAATTTAAGCTCCTGAGGATACAAAATATCTACTTGCTTTGATATTAACTCCTTATTAAGCCTCTCGTTCTTTACCTGTATTTAAATTTTATCAGGTATTATTATTCATTCGTTAATATAGTTTTCATTTAGCACTCTTAATCTCTAATCTCGTAATCAAACATATTTACTTACTACTTGACTGACTTTATAAATGCATGCTATATAACACATAACGTCATGCTCCGCAATAAAGACACCCTGTTCAATTTTGTCAACTTTTTCTGTAAAAATATTTAATTTTAATATTTTTATTCCAAACTATGTAAAACTTTTCCAGCTTAGACGAAATATACATGTATTATAACAATCATGTTATTTTAAAGGACAAACTATGATTAATATTATAGTTTGCTCTTTAAAGTACGTGGGGGTTAATAATAATAATAATAATAACTTTATTTCAGACATAATTAATCCATATTAAGATACATACATAGAGCCACGCGGCAGCTTTTGCTGTCGCACGGATGGACCGGGTCGAACCGTTAAATATATGTAATTATGTTACTTATTAGTTTTAAAAAAAACTTAGTTTAAATATATTTAATATATATAATATGGTCACTTTCTTATAACTAAAAAACTACAGCCTTGTTTGCATGGATGGCTCTTTTATATGATAGTTCTTCATCAGTCAACGAATAATAAAAGCAAATAAAGGGTCAAAAGGGCGCTGCTTTATCGAGGCCATTTTGACAGTTGACATATAGTATAGTTAGTTTATTTTTTATTTTTCGAAGTGTTCCTAATTATTACCAAAGCTTGCTTGCTATTTTTTTCTTAGTGTATTAGGTATAATTTACGATTTTGTGTTTTTGTCTCTGCCCTCCTCCTAGTTTTGGTTTTATAGGGCGGCAAAACTTAAGATGAGCATATTACCCTCACGCACCTTAGTATTATTTAACATAAATAATTTTAACGTACCGTTATTAACTCCATGTTTCGGCATACACTGTTTTTTCATTACTGTCATTGTTTTCTTTAATTGCTCTCTCGACATCTAAGTAATATTATATATACCAATGAGTCATAAAAATACATTATATTTCACGAATTATAATATTTAAAAATAAAGTACTTACCCCAAAAACATATACTATAGTCACAGAAGCAATAAAAATGTGAACTAATATCCGTACCATTTTCTTAATATTTAGACATTAATAATAAAGGTTTATAAAATACTGTAAGGGTACAAAACCAAACTGTTAAATGACGAAACTAAAGTGAAGTTCAAGTTCCAGGCAGCTTACATTTAAGCCACAAAACAGAACCCGCCCACAGTTTAACAAAACTGGTAATTTATATTCAGTAATGAAACGTTTATCAAACGTTTAGCATAAATTTGCCAATTATTCAAGTAATAAAAATGGTTTGCATCGAATATTGCAGAACAACCAACAACCTCTCCAATTTCTTTTTCGATTTATCAAGCAAGCAATAATTTTTTTTTATCTTAAATCGTTCTACAACAAGGATGTCTTTTCCTAGTTTCACCTCACAAAGTAAACTAAGTAATCCTGCAAATTTAACATTAATGTTAAACGGGTTCAAAAAAATAGTAATTAAAATCTTTATTACTATCTTTTAACACATGTTAAATAATTTAGAATTTAAATTTTGTTCAACCGACTTCAATATAAATTATTAAGAATTACACAAAAAATATTGGTCAGAACTTAATCAAATTCATATGGGAACACATGTGAAGCACCAGCTTTCAAATAAAAAAAGGAATCATCGTAATCGGTCAACCCAGTAAAAAGTTATGAGGTAACACACATTAAAAAAACATACAGTCGAATTGAGTGCCGTCTCCTTTTTGAAGTCGGTACAAAAATGTAATTAAAGATATATTTGTTTACAAAATTCTATGTACTTTTTATAGAAGTTTGTTTTGTATAACAAGTAAAAAAGAATGAATAACTAACGTCAAGACCTTGATGGATTAAGATAAAAAGGCACAAAATGTAACTAATTCATGCAACTGTAGATTACAGTTGTATGAATAGATTAATTGCGTTTATTTTATATTCAGTGAGGTTTTAATTTATTTGACGGATAACTTTTCTTACTTATTATAAGCCACTGCTAGATCACAATCCCACCGGGTGGTAAGTGGTGATGCAGCCTTAGATGATAAATCGCACTGTCTTAGCGTAGCAAAAGCCTATTCACTCTTGCCTTGAAGACGCCCAGATTGTATTCGGACGGAAAGATAGACGCCGGCGAATTATTCCACTCCTTTGCTGTACGCATTACAAAAGACGAAGCAAACCGTTTGGTTTTAATGCGTGGAATATCGACAACAAAGAGGTAAAGACACGCCGACCGCCTGGTTGTCCCATGGTGGAAAGGAGAGAAAGAAATTAAATCGTGTAAGTTCTGCGTACACTCACCGAAATGCATTCTATAGAATACCGAGAGAATGGCTACTCAGCGCCTGTGCTCGAGGCTGATAACATTGGTTTCAACCAAACCAAGGTCACCAATGAGCCTCTTAGCACGTCTCTCCACCGAGTCCAACGCTGCCATGTAGCATTTTGCAGCACCAGCCGAAATGTGACAGCAGTACTCCATGCACGACTGGACTTACGCTTTATAAAAGGTAAGAAGCTGCCCCGGCGTAAAGTACCGCCGCACTCTTGCAAGGACACAAAATCTCCACAACTGTGCTGTCGTCTGCATACCCATAGATACCGGGAATGAGCAGATCATTTATATGCAACAGGAAGAGAGTTGCGGAGAGGGGGTATCTCTGAGGACGTAAGTTCCCTCAGTTGAACCATGGGCGAGCTTTACCACCAATGGGTACGCCAACAAAGGGGAGGAAATACTCCATCGCTTCACGTACCACATCCGTTATGGCATCCGCGCAGCTCGAAGGATCTTCAGACGAGAAGCAGACCTGCCGCCAAGGATAAGATGCAAAGAAATGCCGCATCTCAGCCCAATCTGCTGACTTATATCGCCACACTTGCCGCACACCGTGGAAATCGTAGTTAGGTGAGGAGAATATAACGATATAGATTTCACCAGACAATGGTCAAAAGTTACCAAGGGTGAGGTAACCTGAACATCGTACCTGTCTGGATTGGTCGTCAGCAGAAGTTCGAGGCACTTGGCTGTGTGCCCATCCACATCAGGTACTCTAGTCGCTTGTTGTACCAACTCCCTCCCAGCGTGGTCGGTCTTCTGGTATGGGAACAGCCAGTCCTAATGACAGGCATTAAAGTCCCTCAGAAAAACCAACTGTGCATTAGAGTACCGATTTAGAGCCACATCAGAGACTTCACTGAGTTGTTCAAATAGCCTAGTTGTCATCTAGTCACCGCTATGCGATCGGTAGACAATTATGTGGTGATTGAAAAATTAGCCCTAATTAAAAAGTATATACCATACATGTAATAAGGATTTTAAAACTGAAGACGTATTCTCAAATGCTACAAAGATCCTAGTGAGAATGTCAAGTTCCTAGTGAGGTAGTAGTCATGAAATTATTGCATTGTCATTATTTAGTGGTCCGATCTATAAAATTCCATTACATTCATACAAACATACATATTGTGTACACACTAGCCTACCTAATTATAATAATAAAATAATAAAATTAGTGCCTAAAACACGCATTGGTCATGTGGCTGTAATGATACTAGGTCATAGTTATAAAATTAATGTAATGTCATCGGTACTTAAGATGTCTCCAAAAATTCATATTATTCAGAGGTCTGGAAAACTTAATTATGAAATTTCATTACATTCATCTATACCTACATACTACAAAGGCTGTTAAAAATATCTTATGCCGTATTTACACATACGAGTGACGAGGTAAGGGGAGAGGCGAAACCCGAACACGTATATTAGTTGCCTCGGGAGCGGTTTTTCGGGCGCGCTGAGAGCACGACACGAGCCGCGCATGCGACCTTTACATATAGCCTCCATTCAGTTAAGGCGATACCCCGACCAAAACCTTGCGATAGTACGTTTTTCAGAGACTATTATCTCATTAGTTATGAGAAATAAACTACATCTAAAAGCACATTATTAATGTTCGATGTCCTATCATCACATCCCACTTTCTAATTTGTTTTTAAGTGTTATAAATACATTTAAAATCTACTTTTAAAAAATGACTAAAATTATTGATTACATGCATCTGTAGCTAAAGGCAACGCTCGAATCATTTGACGATCACACTAATGGATAGATAATTTAAAAATCTATATTCTTCACGTTTTATTTAATTTTTAAAGTTCATTTTTTTTATTAAAATATGTAATTCCAAAAATTGCGTGAATTCTATGATAAAGCGGCGTACGTATAAAGAGGTGTTTTTAAGTGTTATAAATACATTTAAAATCTACTTTTAAAAAATGACTAAAATTATTGATTACATGCATCTGTAGCTAAAGGCAACGCTCGAATCATTTGAGGATCACACTAATGGATAGATAATTTAAAAATCTATATTCTTCATTTTTAAGTGTTATAAATACATTTAAAATCTACTTTTAAAAAATGACTAAAATTATTGATTACATGCATCTGTAGCTAAAGGCAACGCTCGAATCATTTGAGGATCACACTAATGGATAGATAATTTAAAAATCTATATTCTTCACATTATTTAATTTTTAAAGTTCTTTTTTTTATTAAAATATGTAATTCCAAAAATTGCGTGAATTCTATGATAAAGCGGTGTACGTCTAAAGAGGGAACGAATGCTCAAGGTTATTTGGTCAGGGTCTTAAGTGCTAGTGTCCGCTCTAACAGCACGTAGAGTACCTATACAAAATGAAGTGGAATAACGCGCTAGTAGAGTTCCTAAACTTTCCCAGTTTCAAAAGTGCTCATTTGGAATCCAAAACATCGTTATCATAATATTTCAATCATTAAAGCTAATTAAAGTCAGTTCATAGCCTCATAGGGGGAAATTTGCCATAACTACCACGCTTGGTAGGTCGGTTGACAATCGCGGTTTTTTTTTTAAATTTATTCAGGACAACAAACAATTACAATAATGCTTAAACCAAATAACATTTTATAAATAATATTTGTCATTTCCTGTTTGTCGTCTCATAAGCGGATGATGGATGATGCGGGTTAATGGATTCTCTTGCGCCGCCATCATAATCTCACAATATAACCTTTCCCTTATAACGTTACCCTGTTTTACACCTCTCTGCTATTGGATAGGCTTCGCGCTCTGGTTTTGTAGTCGGATAGCCATCTTGGCCCTACTTTTTTTATAGGATAGGGTGACAAACGAGCACCCAGTCCACCTGTGGTAAGTGGATGCTGTGGATCAAAGACATCTACATTTACCGTCAATCAAGAATTAAAATGCAGATGCTTTGTCACCCCTGAGGACTAAGATGGAATGTCTCGTTTCCAGTAGAAAGGGTCTCCGATTCTCTACACTCTTCATCGAAACATTGCAGCATTAAGCTGCTATTTTAAGCTGGTATTCTGTGAGGGCGTGGTCCTTCCCCGGTCGATCCAACCCATTCGTGCTACAACCATAATGTAGCTGCAGCGTGGCTCTATCACGTCAATCGCCGGCATTCTAATCTTACCCTTACTGCCTATCAAACGTCCACTCCTGAACATAGGTCTTCTCACGGAAATCTATGGAGATTCTACTCACTAAAGATATTTACCATAGTTGGCTTACCAGGCGAGCTGGCAATCGCAGTTTTTTATATTAGGTATAATTTTAAACTGTTATCAGAAAAATGATGCTGCTCATCTCGTTTTAATTTCCTTCTGTCGCCTCTTACGACACCCGCGAGACGATATGAGGTAGTGGATATTCTTAAACCACCACACTACATGGCAACATTCTAATCTTACAATCATATGTTTTCGTAGCACGTCCTTATTTCGCGTGCGGGCGTCAAAACGGGACACCTCACAAATGCACAATTTTTCGTTCCAAGATACTAAAATATTTACAACCGTCATTATTCTGGTAAAAACACCTTACAAAAGAAGTATGTAGACTAAAATTTTTTTATTAATATACCAGTTACAACAAAAAAAAAACAATATTTTTGAGCTTATGTGTCGTGTATTTTATCTAATGTTAAAGTGTACTTTGTGTCAATGTCACCTTTTTGTGTGTTATTCATTGCATGATCAGGGGAAAACAAAATTTTTAGGATCGAATTCGTACATACATTTCGCAGTCCAGTAGGAAACTTCACATATGTCTTTATAATTCTTACCTGCAATTTAAAAATAAAAATATTAATTACAAGTAATAATATTTTTTTGCTTTAGAACAATTGGCGAATAGAATTTGACAGAAATCATTTACAGTAGAACGCCGATTATCCGAATTAATTGGGACCGGGGTCAATTTTGATAATCGGCTAGAAAAAATAACGTTCCAACGTTCCGTTTCACGGAAGCAGCGCGACGCAAAACATGTACTGTCTTGCCTCTAGCTTTCAACCATAAACAGTTGAATTATATCTGGACTCCAGCGAGTTCCAACTTATTACAACAAAAAATTACATTACTTACTTACAGTACTTGATTTTAATTCTTTATATTACGCTTAGGACCGATTCGGATAATTGGCGATTCGGTTAATCGGCGTTCGGATAATCGGCGTTCTACTGTATTACTTAATCTATACATATAAATAAAATTGAAATACCTGTCTGTAATATCGATATCACTACCTTTTATTAAGCTGAGGGGATTATTTACATACCATTAAGACATGAATAAATATTTGAGAGCCGTGTTAGCTCAGATAGTTAGCGCTCGCAGTAAAATTCACAGTACGCGAGGAACCCGGGTTCGATCCCCGCCGGCACCAATGAAATTGTTAATTGCCATTTTAAGTGCTGCTTTATCACGTGCTCGGCGGTGAAGGAAAGGATCGTGAGGAAACCTGCATGTTTGAGAAATAAGAAAAAAAATTTCGAAGACATGTGAAGTTTGCCAACACGCATTAGGGCAGCGTGGCGGACATTTCCTTGCCCTAAAACCCTCTCAGAAATGAGGGGAGGCCTGTGCTCAGCAGTGGGACGTATAAGGCTGTAACTTTTAACTTTTTAAACATTTTTAAAATTTTTGTGTCTAACCTTCTGGATGGCTTAACCAATTGTAACGTAACTTTACGAACAAATACAGAGCAATGCTAAGAGGGATATAGGCTATATTTTATCAGGAAAACTTCGCAAATTTACAAAAAAATGTTGATAAAATAAATTGTCCTTAACTATCTTAAATCTTAATAACGCCACACTAATAGATCCTACCTAGGCGAAGCCACGGCGAATTATAAGTATAATGTAGATATACATTGTAATCTCTTATTTTAAAAAGATCTCGCAAGTTTTTTTTTTCTAGTAGTAAAAACATAAATAATATTTTAACCAATTTCATAATGATAATTAACCATTAATTTAAGATAATATAGTAATCATTAAATAACTATTTACTTAAAAAGATTGTATCGAGGAAAAACTGAAGGTACTTACCGACATCTTTACAATTAACCGCGGCAGCCTTAACCAAGGCCCTCATTTCCGGCGGAAACATCATGTCAACTTGCTTAATCACCGCGTCGTGACTAAGTTTGTTGTTTTTAACCTGGACGTATATATTATAAGATTTTTTTTTATTTAGGCAAAATGAATCGATCTCTAATAAAAAACTAGATACACAATCCCATGCAGAAGTTCTCTAAAAACTGTCACCAATTGTTTTGACGTAATTCTAGTTTAAATTAAATCATACATTAATGTAAACCTTAAATGCATTGTCTAAAGTTGTGAAATGTTCGACTGGGCGCTCATTCGGTAAGGACATTTTTTGTTACTGCTTGTGTATCTAGTTTTTTTATTAGTGATGGAAAATGGGGAAAAAACATTTTTGATACATAAAATAATGGATACCCATGATTTTATTCTCATAATGCCATTTCATAGAGCCAAACCGCAACAATTTTATGCTTGTAGCTTGAATGGATCAGGTCGGAAAGTCCACGCTCTCAAAAAATACCAATGTGCTTTATATGGTAAGTCTACAGAACCGGAGATCCTCCACACTGGACACGAGGCCTTTTCCATCTCCATCCAGCGCTGGTTACAAATTGCATGTCATATTTCAAACGTGACGTGAGACCTTTTCTATAATATACATCTACATATTATATAAGCGAAATGCCTACTCTTTTATCACTCAAATATTATATAAAAAAGTTGATTTGAAGTTATCTAGAATTTAATCGAATGAAAAGATAGACGCCGGCAAATTGTTCTACTCCTTTGCTGTACTCATTGTAAAAGTAATGAGCCACATGTCAGCTCAGCGCTAGAAATATGAGCAAATCTTCCTAAAACCGTTTAGCACAGCCAAATCCTTGAAAATTACTTTAATCAACCGTGGATATAAAAAGGCCAGTGATGTAAATGAAAGGCTCATAAATATTGCCGGAGGACAAAATATCGTAGTAGAGCCGTGCTATAATGTATTGTAGATGCAGTACAAAACGTCCGGGAAAGTACGGTTGCTGCTGTTTTTTCTGTGAATGGTGACGAAATTCCATCGTAGTCCTTAGTATTTATTTTATCATGACAGTTGTTCATATATATTGTAATAAATTAATTTAATACAAAAAAAGAAAATCACAAAATCTGGACCAAATATGTTGCGCCGCTGTGGTCAAGTTGTTAATAAATTTTATATTTACACTGTAAACAGTCTGGAAGGAATTCTGAGTGAAACTCAGGGCGATGAGTATGATGATAACCTACTTAAATTGGCAATATATGCTTTGCAAGTACGTAAAACCGTATAGGATTACCATTCCATGGGACAATGAGAGTGAGGGAATAGAGAGTGCAACTGGTATGCTTGCGCATACTCACGCACTATAATAATAAATAATAATAATATCTTTATTTCGACCAACAAGGATCATACTACATAATTAGTATAATTAGGTGATAACATAGCCTATTGTCAATAATTAATTATAATAATAAAAAAAGTTAAATAGAAATATTTCAATAAGAACATTTGTTGATTTCGTATTATTTATTTGCCAGTACATACTCGTAAACCATACAACAATGGTTCAGGTACTGACAATCAACTCTATTCGAGAACATCACTAGGATGCGGTTTGAGCTGGTCCAGATCCTACGTACCAGGGATGTACACCGCTTACGTATGATCGTGTAGAAGCAATCCACTCTCGCTTCAACGAACATCCCTGATGCTCTGCAGAACCGAGGCAGCCCCATTAGTACCCGAAATGCATTATTGTATTGAACGCGCAAAGCGTTGTACTGCTGTTGAGAGTAATTAACCCAGAGGCTGCTTGTGTAGAGGGATGTACAATATGCTTCAAACAGCGTAATCTTAACTTCTGTTGTGCAACGAGCAAACCTGCGGGCTATTATTTATATTAGCTCTTACAGACAACGACTTGCGCTCTCTATCAATATCTAAATTGTCCCTCAGGTTAGAGTTTACCAAATTTTTTTTATAGGATAGGGTGACAAACGAGCACACAGTCCACCTGATAGTAAGTGGTTACTGTGACCCATAGACATCTACATCTATCCTCAATAAAGACTCAAGATGCAGATGCGTTGGCACCCGTGAAGACTAAGATGGAAAGCCTCGTTTCCAGTAAAAAGGGTCTCCGGTACTCTACAGTCACCATACGAAACACAGCAGCGTTAAGCTGCTATTTTACGCTGGTGTTCTGTGAGAGCGTCGTCCTTTCCCGGTTGAGCCGACCCATTCGTACTACAACTATACTACTAATATAGCTGCCGCATGACTCTACCACGTAAAAGATATTTAAAATGTTCTGCTCTCTTTAGAGGGATTACATTCAATTTAATAGGAGGAACGCTAAGTGTACTTTTGTTTCTGGCCTGAAAGATCATATATTCACTTTTGCTTACATTGTATTTTAGTCCATGACTAACAGTATATTTCTCACAGATGCCTAGCAACTTACTGAGGCCACAGATAGAGGCACTCAGCAGCACCATTTCGTCCACGTAGCTAATATTATTCAAACATATTTTGTCAATGTGGCAGCCGACACGACTACTGCTGAGTAGTTTAACGGTGGTAGAGCCCTGCAGCAGTTTTTTGCTGTTGCACGTATGGGCCGGCTCGAGCCGGGTTGGTACCACGACCTCACAGAATACCGGCGTGAAGTAGAGGCTCTGCTTCTGCGTTTCGTCTGGTGAGTGCAGGTGGCCGGAGGCCCAATTCCCCCCCCCCCCCCCCCCCATCAACATGGTAGCGGAATTAGACAATAGACTACCCCAGGAGGGTACCAGTACCCCTGGAGAATCCCTCGCTGAGCATCCACGACCATGTTATTCCAATCCTGAGCGTGGGTGCTCAGGCTGCCCCGCGTATTCTGGGGGGGGCAAAATTCCGCTCAAAAACAAAACTGCTCGGGGCAAGCTGAGCAACAATACCAAGGCGACCCCTGCCACGCTATCCGTGAATTTCTGCAACATCAGGGGACTTCACTGTAACCTAAACGCCGTCCACTACCATCTCGAGACGGCGAAGCCGGCCTTGCTCTTTTTGACCGAGACGCAGGTTTCCTCTCCGACTGATATTTCGTATCTCTCCTACCCGGGGTACAAATTGGAGCACTCCTTTGTGCCTCGGGCTGGAGTTTGCGTGTATGTTAGAGAGGACATCTGTTCTCGACGCCTCGGCAGTCTTGAAGGTTCGGACCTGTCCATCCTTTGGCTACGCGTAGACAGCGACGACCATCCGCGCGTCTACGGGTGCCTCCATAGGTCCCATAGCGGTAATGCCGAAACAGACCGACTCATCGACCACGTCCAAATGGCTACAGATTCCTTGCTACAACAGGTCCCATCCGCAGAGATCGTGATCCTTGGTGATTTTAACGCCCACCATGCCGAATGGCTCGGTTCACGTTTAACCGATCATGCGGGGAGATCTGTTTATGACTTTGCCTTGGCATATGGTCTGACACAACTGGTTACTTCGCCTACGCGGATTCCAGATGTGGAGGATCATACACCTTCCCTGTTGGACCTTCTGCTGACCTCTCATCCGGACGGATATCAGGTTTCCGTCGATGCCCCTCTCGGCTCTTCGGACCATTGTCTGATCCGGAGTATGGTGCCACTCACGCTCCCTTCGCGGTTGCGTTCTGCAGGTTGCCGCCGTGTTTGGCATTACAGGTCGGCGGATTGGGACGGAATGCGGTCTTTCTTTGCATCCTACCCATGGGGGCGGGTTTGCTTCTCGCCGGATGATCCCAGTGCTGTTGCTGACTCTGTCACTGATGTGGTGCTACAGGGAATGGAACTATTTATTCCATCATCTGTGGTACCCATCGGAGGCAGATCTCAGCCTTGGTTTGGTCGCTCCTGTAAGACTGCATTGCGCAGTAAGCAGGAGTGTTATCAAGCCTGGGCTGCAGCTTCGGTGACTCGGGATGTAAACACCAGCACACTTAAAAAGAAGTATAACTTCGCCTCCAGGTCCTTCAAAAGAGTTATTGCCAAGGCAAAGTCAGAGCACATAGGCAGAATTGGCGAGAAACTAGTTCGCCTTCCTTCGGGAACCCGTGCATTCTGGTCTCTCGCCAAGGCTGTCCAAGGGAATTTCTGTAAGCCATCACTACCATCTCTGCACAGGGAGGATGACTCACTGGCCCATGACGCAAAAGACAAAGCCGACCTTTTAGGCTCCCTTTTTGCGTCCAACTCGACTCTTGATGACGGGGGGAAAACACCGCCGACCATCCCGCGGTGTGAGTGCTCCATGCCGGATGTGCTGTTCTCACAACGCTCGGTTCGCAAAGCACTGCTCTCCCTGGACATCCAGAAGTCGAGTGGGCCTGACGGAATCCCCCCAATTGTGCTGAGGACGTGTGCTCCGGAGTTGGCACCGGTCCTAACGCGTCTTTTCCGGTACTCCTACTCCCAAGGCGTAGTCCCGAATTCATGGAAGACAGCTTTTGTCCACCCGATCCCTAAAAAAGGCGACCGCTCAGACCCGTCCAACTATAGGCCTATCGCGATCACCTCCTTGTTCTCCAAAATAATGGAATCCATTATTAACTGCCAGCTCATCCGGTACCTTGAGGATCACCAGCTGATTAGTGACCGCCAATACGGTTTTCGTCGGTGTCGATCAGCTGGTGATCTTCTTGTCTACCTGACCCATAGATGGGCGGAGGCAGTAGAGTCCAAGGGGGAGGCGTTGGCCGTTAGTCTGGACATTGCGAAGGCCTTTGATCGGGTTTGGCACAAAGCGCTTCTTTCAAAGCTGCCTTCCTATGGGCTTCCCGAGAAATTGTGCAATTGGATCACCAGCTTTCTTGCAGATCGGAGCATCAAGGTCGTTGTAGACGGTGCATGTTCTGACTACAAGCCTATTAACGCTGGTGTTCCACAAGGCTGTGTGCTATCACCGACGCTGTTTCTTCTGCATATCAATGATATGTTGCTAACTGGTAACATTCATTGCTATGCGGATGACAGCACAGGTGATGCTCTATACACCGGCCGGGCCAATATTTCTCGGGAAAACGTCGCCGAGTACCGGAACAAACTTGTGTCTGAAGTCGAGTCTTTGCTGGACAAAGTCTCGGATTGGGGGCGACTAAATCTAGTCCAGTTTAATCCTCAGAAGACACAAGTTTGCGCGTTTACCGCTAAAAAGAACCCCTTTGTCGTATCTCCTCAGTTTCAAGGCACTCCCCTTCTTGCCTCAGCCAGTATCGGTATCCTCGGAGTCGACATATCGAGTGACGTGCAGTTTCGTGGTCACTTGGAAGAGAAGGCCAAATTGGCCTCTAAAAAGCTTGGCGTGCTCAGCAGAGCGGGACAGTATTTCATGCCGGCACACCGCCTGCAACTTTACAAGGCGCAGGTTCGGCCTCACATGGAATACTGTTCCCATCTCTGGGCAGGGGCTCCCCAGTGCCAGCTCCTTCCACTTGACCGCATCCAGCGCAGAGCGGCTCGAATCGTCGACGACCGAGCCCTTTCCGATCGGCTCGATTCATTGGCACTGCGAAGAGATGTTGCATCTCTTTGCATTTTCTTTCGCATCTACCATGGGGAGTGCTCTGAGGAATTGTTCGGATTAATCCCAGCCGCCAAATTTCACGAACGAACATCGCGGCAGAACTCCCGATACCATCCACACCATCTGGATGATTGGCGGTCCACCACTGTGCGATTTAGAAGATGTTTTCTTCCTCGCACAACTTCCTTGTGGAATAGTTTACCACCAGGGATTTTTCCGGACCGATACGACTTAGGGACCTTCAAGAAAAGAGCCTACTCCTTTTTAAAAGGCCGGCAACGCATCTGCAATTCCCCTGGTGTTGCGGTTGTTCATGGGCGGCGGTAGTCACTTACCATCAGGTGAGCCGCATGCTCGTTTGCCCCCTCTCCTATAAAAAAAAAAAAAATATACAAGTTGAAGAGTTTGGGTAAGGTCAAACCTTCTATCTCACCCCGCACTCTAACCCGTATGGCTCAGAAAAAGCACTCGACCATCGTACGACATTAACTTGGTTTGAATACCAATATTTAAAGATATTAGTACTTACTATAATCGTGTCCCGCGCAAATGTCTAGTCTACGTTGAGACTGACAGTGACCGAAATTCGGACTTGAGGTCATTATTATTATTATTATTATTATACATCTATATTCTCCCTATTATAGAGGTAACTTAAACCCTAATCACACGGGCCGAAGCCAAGCGTGAGCAGGTGCTAGGTGATGGTGTAAGCGGAGGTGACGGATGAAGTGGTGAGGAATTTGCGTGTGAGTCGGCAGGTGTTGAGAATGACAGCTTTCTGCAGGGTGTAAAGTGTGTGTTGGGGTACTTGCAAAATATCTAAACTGCGTTGTAGGCTTTTAGGTATGACTCCGGTAGATGAGATAACTATTGGAACTATATGGATGGTTTCTGCTTTCCATTGACGCTTCAGTTCTATTGCTAAATCTTGATATTTTGTAAGTTTTTCAGCAATGGTGGATTGAATGTTATGGGTGTTTGGTATGGCAATGTCAATAAGGTAAGTAGTTTTGTTATTTTTGTCATACATTGTGATATCTGGCCTATTGAAGTGGATAGTTTTATCCGTGATAATGGTCCTGTCCCAGTAAATTCTATGATTATTATTTTCTAATATAATGTCCGGTTTATATTTATAATATGGTGTCGTTTTTTGTATAAATTTGAATTTAAGCGCAAGATGTTGGTGTATTATGGAAGCTACCTGGTCATGCCGGTGTTTATAGTCGGTTTGTGCAAGGGCTCTACAGGCGGATGTAATGTGTTGTATGTTTTCGGGACTAGAGTGGCAATGTCTGCAAGTATCGGTGGGAAGGTTAGGTGCGCGTATTATGTGTCTCTGGAAGTTTCGAGTATCGATAACCTGGTCCTGGATCGCTAACATGAAGGCCTCCGTCTCTGGGAAGAGTTCACCGCGCCTCAGCCATGCGTTCGACGCTTTTTTGTCGACATGTGGCTGCTGCAGGTCGTGATAGTGCCTTCCGTGTAGGGACTTCTGTTGCCATGAGGCGATCTTCTCTTTTACGTCAGTGATCCGTTCGTTGCGCTGTGTATTTCGGTCTGCAAGGTTAAGTGGTGTGAAGCGTTTGTCGGCTAAGGTTACTATTTCATGGAGAGGTGAGTGTTCTGAGCGTTGATAGAAATATTGTCGAAGGCATTTGATTTGTCTGTTATGCAAGTTGAGTACATCTATTATACCTCGTCCACCATCGGATCTTGAAAGAATCATCCTTTGTACGCAGGATCTAGGGTGGTGCTTGCGGTGAGCCGTTAGAGTGGTATTTATAATACGTTGTAGATTGGTAAGGTCACCTTGAGTCCAGCTTATTACACCAAACTAATATGTCAGTATGGGGATTGCGTAACTGTTGATAGCTTTTGACATGTTGCGGGAGTTGAGCTGAGACCGGAATATACTATTGAGCCGATGTTTAAATTTCTTTTTGAGATCTTCTTTCCTATCCTTTTGATGAATCTGTCGCGCTTGTTGGAAACCTAAGTATTTATATGCGGCTAACGGTTCTAGGGGTTCAATCGTGTCTCCTGATATTAGGCTATAGCTATTACGGTTAATTTTTCCGTTTTTAACCGAGAACGTTTTGCATTTGTCGATCCCAAACTCCATATGAATGTCGTTTGAGAAAGATTGGGTGATGTCTGCAATTATTATTATTATTATAAATTTCCAAAGACATTTAAGTAGTAGTAGTAATAGACCGGACATCAGTAGCAATATTGTCGTCTGTAATTTATGTCCTATACATGGAAATACATGTACTTCGTGTTTGTCTATAGTTCCGTGGTCCTATAGGATATATCTCCGATTTTTGTCATTTAGTCTTAGTGACATCGTCAAAAAGTCAAGACGCATTCGTTTCATATATTAAAAAAATATTTTTAAAGAAAATATTGTTGTGCATTAAGATATTGTAAGTCACGATATGGAGCAAAAAATGAACGTCATATCGGTTTATTATCGTAAATATAACATATATTTACCGAATAATCTTTAAATTTTATTATTTGCGCACTGCGCACACTCTCCGAAATGCATCCTGTAGAAAACCAAAAGGCTGGCTACTTTGCGCCTGTGTTCGTGACTGTTAAGATTGGTTTTAAAAAATTCGGGTCACCAATAAGCCTCTTAGCACGTCTTTCCATTTTGCAGCACCAGACCATATATTGCAGCAATACTTCATGCACGACCGGACTTGCGCTTTATATAAAGTAAGGAACTGTCCCGGCATGAAGTATCAGTTGGTGTATTCCAGTCATACATTTGGGAAAGAAATAGCCAAGGTGAGCTGGCTCCTTTTTGCAGTGAAGAAACACGCTTGTGTTTTGAAGGCGTTGAATTTCACAAGATTGGCATCACCCCATTGAGAGACGGCCTGTAGTGTGGGATTCACACGCTCTACCATAGCTTCTCTTTCGAACTGGATTTGGAGGACTTGGTTGGTATATCTCCACGACTGTGCTATTGTCTGCATAGCCATAGATACTGAGCATAAGCAGATCGTTATTATGCAGCAGGAAAAGAGTTGCGGAGAGAACGGACCTCTGAGGAACGCTGAAAGCTGGTGCTTCTCATGTGGTCTCATATAAATTAATCAAGGCCTGACCAATAGTTTTTAAGTTATTCCTAATAATATATATTGACGTCGGATGTACAATTGTTCTAACTTTAAATTATTTTAAAGTCGGTTGAAATCATCGTCACTCAACTGACATAATATGAAAAACATGGAGCTATAGATTGTTAAAGTACGCGCGGTAGCTACGCGAAAAGCGAAATTGCAGATTGGTGTGGCTTTACATAAAGTAATGAATGTGAATGTGAAGCAGAAAACTGCATTACATTCACATTCAATAAATTCGCTACGTGGTAGAGCCATGCTGCAGCTATATTATGGTTGTAGCACGAATGGGTCGGCTCGAACGGGGAAGGACCACGCTCTCACAGAAAACCAGCGTAAAATAGCAGCTTAACGCTGATGTGTTTCGTATGGTGAGTGTAGAGAACCGGAGACCCTTTTTACTGGCAAAGAGGCATTCCATCTTAGTCCTCACGGGTGACAACGCATCTGCATTTTGAGTCTTTATTGAGGATAGATGTAGATGTCTATGGTTCACAGTAACCACTTACCATCAGGTGGACTGTGTGCTCGTTTGTCACCCGATCCTATAAAAAAAAATCAATATGTCATATACATAAATCTAAAATATTTGAAAGTATGTATTCTTACAAGTTGCGTCGTTGTGTAAATGCACGCGATGTAACACATCACATTTCGGTCCTCTATGAATTTTCCTTGTTCTATTTCACCGATTTGTTCTAAAAATTATAAATATAATTGTAAAATATGTTTATTTTTAAACGATTTTCCCTAAAACTCAGTACTTTATTGCGATTATTGAAAAACAGTGTGGTGTAAGAACCCTGTGGTAGCCGTGTAAGAATAACCCATCACTAAATTTCGACCCGTGGGTGTTGTAAGAGACGACTATGAGAAATGCAAGACAGATTATTCTGATTTGCGAGTCTTTCTTCGTGTCACTTTTTGTTTTCTAAAGTGACCAAGTTCTCGACTAAATCAACGCTGGTGGATTTGCCTTAATCATCATGCCTGCGATTGGATATTGCAGTAGCTGATGTTTTAGCTTTTGGACGCTGCCACCTGTCATCGTTCCGCATATTTCATGCCTGTCGTAAGCAAGATCGTCATATTCATCTATTGGAAGTCATAATTTTTCTGGCATTTTGTATAGTCACTATTTCCTATAGTATCTAGTTTTCTACAGTAGAGATCAACGGAACGAAATAAGGTGATGGATTCTCCTACACCAGAGTAAAGTAGCAGCTTAATACTGCTGTGTTTCATATGGTAAGTGTAAAGGATCGGAGCCCCTTTTTGCTGGAAACATGGCATTCCATCTTAGTCCTCAGGAGTGACAATGCAATAAATGAGAATAAATGTAGATGTCTATGGGCCACAGCATCCACTTACCATCAGGTGGACTGGCCATATAGCCATATACCTCGAAGAACTGATAGGGAAGAAAGGTTTTCGCGTGGCAGGATCCCATACGGTCCCTCTAGACGGAGTGACCACCTGGTAAGAGATGCAGTTGGCTCTGGATCGTACTTTGAGGCATTCCTTGGGGACGCTTATGTTCAATAGTGAATTTGTGATGGGATTTGCTGATGATGATTGTGATGTGAATGTGTAGACTCGGTTACATTATTCTGTATTAATTACGATAAAATGTAATCTAGTTTAACTGAATGTAATATTAATATGTATTAAAATTACCTTCAGTAACATTGTTCTTTGGCATACAAGTCTTCTTCATAAGTTTACCAGCATTCTTTAGTTGCTGTCTGGTCATCTGAAAATTTTACAAAATTCATAGTTTATTAAATATGTGTTAACAAAACAACTCTTAAAATTAAACTTTTAACATAATTTTTTTAAACTGGCTTTACGGCTCTGGGTTCTAGCTCTTCTGGGCCTAGTTTAACATAAAATAATAAAGTGGCCTAGAGTAGCCTTGTAGTAGACTTTGTATTCAAGTTTTACTTTTTATTAAAGTCTTAATATTTTGACACATTTGTGTCTAAGGGTCGTCTAAGGAATAACGTAAGCTCAGCTAGAATGTCACCTAGTTTCATTTAAAACTTCAGCTCTATTTTAACCACGCTTAGGGCTCATTTTTATCATAATTTTTATCCCAAATTTAAATTTTAACCCAATTTAAAAAGAAGCATTAATTCGATGCACGATCGACGTAGATATACGCGTCCCATACATATAGCTTTTTTGTTAATATTACTTACGGAATAACTATAAACAATCCATAAGTTTAAAATAACAAACAAAATCAACTTAAAATGCATTATTACTTTTACGCACCGCTACTTAAACGTAAAAATTTAAAATAGAAAATAGATTTCTTCCTTTATATATTTTTATTTTCAGTAATCACTGCATAATGATTGATAAATTATATTCTAATATACAAGTTACCACACATACTAGCTTATTAATGTCACATTTATCAACGCCCATCTCTTTAAATAACGATCAAAAGGCGGAGCTCATAGATAAATAAATATGTAGCAAGCTAGCGGAGCTTAGCAAAGACCAGTAACTGACTACCTACGAAATGAGTATTAATTGATGAAATATTATCAAATTGGCTATTCAGTAGTTTAGAAACAGTCGAATAAAAGGTTAATTCCGACTATTCCTTTTTTTCCAAAATCAGTTAAATATGGACAAAACTAAATAACCTAATTAATTTATGGCAGCCCCTAAATATACGCCTCCGTCATAGACGGATTCACCTTAATCACCTGCATCCATCGATTTACTTATCTTCACTCCATCTAGTGGGAAGACGCCCAACACGTCTCTTACCCGTATGTCGGTTCGGTTACGCTGGTTCCTAGAACGTAATTAGAGTACGTCCCATTAAAAACAAAAGAATATATATATATAGGCGTGAGTGTTTATACATTATATATAATATATATAGATATATATAATATATAAACACTCACGCCTGTTACCCAGAGGGGTAGGCAGAGACTATCGACTTCCATTTGGCACGATCCTGACACACCTCTCTCGCTTCCTCCACATCCATATACCTACGCATACACGCTCATCGGTTAAAGGTACTCTTGATTTGGCCCATTTTCAATATATCGCCAATTTGTTCGATAAACTTTCGGCTAGGGCGTCCCTTCCCGACTCTGCCGTTCACCTCTGCAATATAAATTTGCTTTGTCACTCTTTCCTCATTCATTGTTTCTACATGCCCAAACCACCAAAGCATTCCCTTCTTAATCCTGGTCACAACATCATCTTGCAAGCGACACTCTTCTCTTATCAAACAATTTCTCACTCTGTCATTCAGATTCATCCCTAACATACTCCTTAATGATCGCATTTCTACAGCATTTATTCTACTCTCGTGCTTCTTCTGCCACACCCAACTTTCACTACCATACATTAAAGTAGGTACTAACACAGCATTGTGAATTGCCATACATGCCTTTTTGGACACATTCTGACTTTTCACAATAGGCCCATTCACTCTATTTCCTGCATTCACTCGTCGTTCTATATCCTTATCATATCTACCATCCCTGCTAAACACACATCCCAAATACACAAACTCATCTACTTGCTCGACAAACTCTCCTTCTATTCTTATTTCACATATCGTTTTACTTTCTTCTCTTTCAAAAACCATAACTTTCGTCTTACTTGCATTCACTTTCATTCCCTTTTCTTTTAATGTTCTGTTCATTAATATAACCATCATTTGCAATTCGGCCGCCGACGACGCAAGTATGACTTGATCATCGGCGTACAAAAGGCATTTGACGGTTAACTCACCCATTCTTAACCAGCATTCTCCTACTTTCAAATTTTCCAAACAACTGTCCATAAATAGGTTGAACAGCCACGGGGAACACACACAGCCCTGTCTGACACCTTTATGGATGCCAAACCAGTCTGAGTAGGCCCCGTTAATCCTGACACAAGCACTAGAGTCCCTATACAGAGACTTCAATGCCTGTATCAACCCAGCGCTCAACCCAAATGAGTTCAGTGTTTGCCATAACACATTCCTGTCTACTCTGTCATAAGCCTTTTTCAAGTCCACGAACGCACAAAAAGCTTTTTGGTTTTTGGCCAAAAACTTCTCCGCGACCATGCGCATGGAAAAGACCTGATCCGTACATCCCATTCCCTTTCTAAATCCCGCTTGCACATTCCAAATTTTCCATCAGTTTCTTTCATAACTCTTTCAATTAGTATCTTAGCATACAGTTTTCCCACAATGCTAAGAAGGCTGATACCACGGTAGTTTTTACAGTCCTGCTGTGATCCTTTTCCCTTATATATTGAGACTATTACGGCTTTGCACCAGTTTCCCGGTACCCGCTTAAGTTCCCAACATAAATTAAACAAGGTGCACAGCAGGTCTGCCACCACTCCTTCGCCAGCCCTCAGTATTTCGAGAGATACTGTATCATATCCGGCTGCCTTATCTGCTTTCATACTTTTCATTGCTTTCATTATTTCATCTATACTTATGTTTCTATCTATTTCCTCTTCTTTCGGAATTTCTATTTCATTTAATTCAAACGTCTCATCACTCATAAATTTAAAATATCTTTTTAATAAGCTAGATAGGTGTGGAGGGAATATAACAACTATTTCTCTAAAAGACAATCTCACCTGCAAGAGGTGTAACAGATCGACAGACGAGACTGAGAACTCCAAATCTAGATTCCAAAAAGGTCGAAATTAAATCCAAATAAGACTATTCTCTTAAATCGTAGGTAATTGCAATAAAAGAGAGCATCGAGAGCAAGCCGCATGTAATTAATAAATAAAACTCAGAAATAAGTAGTTTTATAAAGATCAATAAATCGCATATCAACAAACCTCAATAAAAAAATATCTGTTCCTGGCTGTAGAACATACGCAGACTTCACTTTTAGTTCCCTTCGGCACCAACGAAATTGTTAATTACAATTTAGTGTGTTAATTTACCACGTGTTTGACGGTAAAAATAACAATGTCAGCAAACCTGCATGTCTTAGATATTAAAAAATGTAAAGTTCGTGCACGCATACAAGATGAAAAGTAGTACGGTGGACGGTTTTGCTCCATAACCCGCAAAGAAATTAAAGGAGGCCTAGGCCCTTCATTGGGAAGTTAATTACTTGGCTGTAGGTTTACACGTGTACGAAATGTTTTAACTAAAAAGCCGTGTAAATTTGTCAGCTGTAAATTACACAGTACGCGAGCAAGCCGGGTTTGTTTCCCACCATCACTAATTAATAAGTGCTGATTTTGCAATGTGCTCGGCGGTGAACGAAAATATCGTGAGGAAACCTGCATGTCTCCACAAATCAAAGACTTACAATAAGGCGCATTGGGGTAGCGCTGCGGACATTTTTTCGCCCAAAAACCGTCTCAGAAATTTGAGGAGATAGTAACAGAGTAGGCCTGTGCCCAAATGTAGGACATGCATATAGGCTGTAACTTTAATGTTACTTACTTTTATCTAAATAACTATAATCAGACGTCTGTGTACTATAATATGAAATAATTTCATTGGTATCTATTTCCACCTTATACTCACAGTACAGTCTCAGAACGTAACCTGTTAATTCACGATCATTAATCAATTATTTTAGAGGACAGTTTTTAGTATGACCATGATTTTTATCATTTAGAATTCAATCCATTTGGTTTATTATTATTATAAAGCCATTTATTTACCTAACAATATTTAAATACAAATCTTTAAAAAAAACTAATATTTATATTAATACTAGCTGGCCAGGCAGACGTTGTTCTGCCGTTTTCGACGACCCTCATATAAAAATCTTTAAATTCGTAATAAAATATTGAGTATCACTTATCAGGATAAAAACTATCCTATCTCTCAACTTGGATCAAACTGCACAGAGTGTGCAAATTTCATTGAAATCAGCTCTGTAGTTTAGGAGTTCATCGCGGACAAACAACGTGACACGTAATTTTTATATATAAAGATTCATTAGATCATTTAAAATTTGTAACAAAATTATAACAGATAGAAACATTATAAAAGCATGTAGGAAAAAACAAAATTATCATAAAATAAAATAAAATTATCATTACAATCAATAATAAGTATATTACTTCTTGACACATAATTAATAAATAGTTGTTATTTATCTAATTGTTGTTAAGGACCTTTCTACGAGTATAGGCCTCCTCTAGTTTTTCCACTTTTGACTATCCTTGGCCACTGAAATGCAATCTTCTCACGCAAATTTTTCAATTTCACCCGTCCACCCCTCTAGAGGTCTACCTCTATTTCGTTTTCCAGTAGGGCCTGCTCATGTAGTGACCTTCTTAGTCCATCTTTTATCTTCCATACGTGCAATTTATTTGGTTATTGATACAAATAAATAAAAATTTGAATATATACTCAAAATTTGGTATTAACTTCGGAGAACCTCATCATCACCATCATCGTCATCATCATTAGCCTATCAAAACTGCTGAACAAAGAACTCTGCCATAGATTAGTTTCATAGGGGGTTTTTGCCATAGTTGTCAAGCTAGGAGGCTTGTAACCGCTGTTTTTTTATTATTTTCAGTATCTAGAAGGTGCTGCTGGCAGTCTCAGATATACATTCGAAAAACTTATTTCTTAGCAATTATCATAGAATTATAGCGTAATATAGTCATAAAGAAGAACTAAGTTAAACAGATTGCGGGAGTTAGTTTGAGGGAAGAGACCACCACGGGCTATCTATCGCTCGCCATTCATTTCACATTAGATATGTGATGAAGCATATTTTTTTTTTAAGGGAAACATACGGTACTATAATAAATTACACATTAAAACATATTAAAGTAATCCTAAAAACCAATGAAGTTTCCACAGATATCTAATACATAATAAAAGCTTGCCACCACAATATTATGTTGTATAAAAATTAAAATATAAAAGAATAAAGCTAACTAAATGGTATTCATAAATTAATATCATTTTGCTGGTAGTACAAATTAGCAAGATAGGGTTCAGGTACTTAATCCATATGACCTTTCCAACCATCGACAACAACTGGCACTCTCTCACGTATTTTTGTTCCTGTGCTGATATAAGAAAAGAAGAAAGTAAGAGTAACGTTAGTAATAATAATAATAATAATAATATTCCACAACTATCACACAACGCCATCTAGTCCCAAGCTAAGCAGAGCTTGTGTTATGGGTACTAGACAACTGATAAACATACTTATATATTTCTAAATACATAAATATCATAGATAAATTACACCCAGACACAGAACAAATGATCGTGCTCATCACACAAACATTTGTCCTGGGTGGGAATCGAACCCACGACCTCCGGCGTAGCAGTCAGGGTCACTAACCACTAGACCAACAGGCCAGTCAAAAGTTAGTGAAATATTGCTTGGGTTAATACAAAATCTGTCTGCTTTATCGGGTCGCTGAGCAGGAAATCCAAGTCGCTGCTTCGTCTCTAATATCATCATAACTCTTAATCATATCTCAAATTAATAACTAAGTTGTTTTTGAGTTTTTATTTATTTTTTATTCGAATTGACAAAAAATTACAAACTCGTGTGCTGTATTTTATACTTCGGACATCTTTCTTTACCTCTTTGAAATGAGAAGAGCGTATGTCCGATTAAGACGTTCCTCGACACTCACTAATTCTTTATATAGTAATCATGTCTCAAGATTTTACATTTTTATAGTGTCAGTAATATCGTTTCATCAGGTGTTAAATGTTACAGTCATTGATTAACTACTACGCTGCGTATATAGGAAGCAAATGTAATCCAAGATTTTCAGAAAACCGGAGGCAATGTCGGTTTTGGCCGCACTAGCAAAATTTTTAGTTGTATTAACGGTTTGTGAAGCGGTAAGTAAAATTAAAACATAATCTCTTTATTTAAATTAAATTGCATTTTATTTTAAATTGACCGTTTATATCTTTTTTTTTTAAACGTTACCCCCACACTAGGATTTTCTCATGTATCGTGGAGGCAGTTTACAAACACAAATTGCACAAGGACAAACATCCAGACCCGGAACAATCATTTGTAGGCCATACAAATACTTGTTCCGTGCGGGGTTCGAACCCGCGGCCCCCAGCGCAGCAACCCATTGCTAAGCCACTGCGCCACGGAGCCGTCGTAATATGAAGTAGCATTATGATAGAATTTATTAGTGTAATCGAAATAGCTGTTTTGTTTTATGCAAAGAGGATATTTGGCCGTGTTTAAAAACTTTCGAAAGCAAGTAAAGTAGTCAGCTAGAACATTAGAACCAAAGCGCTATGCCTTAGCGATGGTTAACTAAGAAGTAGAAGAGAAATTATCGGTTCATCTCGACCCATGGTTCACTTATCGGAGTATGTAAGAACAGAAACGTAACAATCAAAAAATGTACAGTTAAAAAAATCTAATTGCAGTACAATTATTTTAGGTCAGATGATTTTGTACACAGTTTTGTACACACACAAAATCATTTGACCTAAAATTCGCACTATGGGGAGTTACGTATGTGGTGTAAAAGGTCCAAAACATTAATAATACGTCCTCGGGAATTACATACAGCAAATCCTTAAAATTTAACAAGTGGCTAACACTGCCTTCAATCCATAATCCTATTAATATTATTTTTATAGTTCATACTTCCAAACTCAAAATTACATAAGCTTAAAAAGAACATTCAAAAATTACAAAGGTTCTTATGTAAATCAAGAAAGTACATACAAAAAATACATTGCAAAATAAATTAAGCCATTAGGCTTTATTTAATCTTTTATATAATAAAAATATATAATTTAACCTTTTTTAAATACTTTATCTCTGTGACAGTATGGTAAGAAGAAACGTCACGCCATCTAATCCCAGTCAGTGTGATAGAAGGTAGGTGTAAAAAGGTCTGGTCTCTAATAGTTGACCGGAGACAGCAAATGAGCATAATATCCTGTATTGCGATTTCCTTAAAGTTATTGAAATACATAGGTTTATTTCTTCGAAGTGTAAGAGAAAATTAAGATTTCGTTTGTCAAATGTAATTTCTTAATCGACTTCAAAAAAGGAGGAGGTACTCAATTTGACTGCAGTTTTTTATGTGTTACCACAGAACTTTTTTCTATGTGAACCGATTTTGATGATTCTCATGTAGTCCCATATAAATTTGATTAAAATCTGACCAGTAGTTTTTGAGTTATCCTTAGTAATGGTTATTTAATTGACTTCGACTACATTGACGATGTTCTCATTTTATTTATATTGAAGTCGATTGTGCAAAATTTTACCACTTTCTCCAAATCTGTTACCGTTTCGAAATGAAATTTCTATTATACAGGGAAAAATTCATAAAGATGGAAAAAATGATAATATTTGTAACTCATCAGTGCTTTGCAACCCCGATCAGACTAGTCATGAAAAATAGTAGTTTCTCTAGTACAAATGTATACATTTTCTTTGTACTCGTAGTTTGGTAACACCTAACATCTAATTTTCCTCTCCAGCAACAGTGTTCTAGCTAAAAGGGTAAAGGTACAACCACAGACTGTACATCATTTCATTCCAGTCATCAGGGATGATAACGAATCTGTTGCTGTTCTTTGTTTAAAGTTGGTGTCACGTGTCCGCAGACTGCGGTAGCTACTTATAATCAGATGGACAGCTTGCTTGTCTTCCCCATATTCGTCACACATGCAGTCAAACTGCAATATTCTATAGTATATTCTAAATAATACTATTCTATAGAAAAACTGTAGCCATGGTAGCTCAGATGGTTAGTGCTCGCTGTAAATTTCACAGTACGCGAGCGAACCCGTGTTCGATCCCTGGTGGCACTGATGAAATTGTTAATTGTAATTTTAAGTGCTGATTTACCACGTGCTAGGCGGTGAAGGAAAACATCGTGAGGAAACCTGCATGTCGAAAAGTAAGAAATATTTTGAAGACGTGTGAAGTTCGCACACACGCATTGGGGCAGCGCGGCGAACACTTCCTTGCTCTAAAACCCTCACAGAAATGAGAGGAGGCCTGTGCCCAGCTGTGGGACGTATTTAAGCTGTAACTTTAACTTTTTAACTTGTAGTGAAACTGCATTATATTATATTGTATACTCATATTCTCTCACTGGTAACGCTGCTCCCCATCATATGTCTATGTAATTTGATTTTGGTATATTTGCTTTAATCTCAGTAACGCTCACTCGTGTGCTGATGGTGATTAAAATAAAAAGCAAAAAGTAAACCATTTAAAATATTTTGTATAGAAATTGATTCCAGGTGTTTTTTTTTTCGATTTTATGAGTACTTATTTTAGTTTTAATTTTTTAGAATCCCTTATAATTAAATCGCCTATATAACGAACTTTTCAGATGACCATGAAACAATTAAACTCTACGGGTAAAATGATGAGGAAGTCCTGTCAACCAAAAAATAACGTAGAAGATGGTGAGAATTATGATGATATATTTTTCAACTTTATAGCATTTATATTTAAGAATTGTTTATATTTTTAATCAGCAAAAATCGACCCAATTAATGATGGCGTTTTTATCGAGGAGAAGGAAGTGATGTGCTACATTGCTTGCATTATGAAAATGGCAAATGCGGTAAGTGAAGCTGATAGTTACAAATAATCTTTTCTAACTAATTACAGCCTTATAGGTTTGTTAATTTTTTACGTTATACTAAATCAATTTCGTTTATGCCGGCCAACATTCAAAATGTCTGATAATAGTCATAATCTATACATACATATAAATAAAATTAAAGTGCCTGTCTATAATATTGAAATCTGCCTACATTAATCTCTGACGGTTATTTGCATGTTATTACGATATGAACATTTTTTTTTAATTTTGTCCGTCTGTCTGTCTTCTGTCTGTCCGGCCTAATCTTCGGAATGTCTAAACCGGTTATGATGAAACTTCAGAAACAGTAGAGCGCAATGTCAGAAGTGATCTTGGTTATATTTTATTCGACAACCTTGGAGATTTTTTTGTAAAATCTAAAAATGGATAAAAATAGATGATCGTTGATGATTATCGTAAATCTAAAAGTTGACATAAATGAAATTAATAGACACCACCCAGGCGAAGCCGGAGCGGGTCGCTTATTCTCGCGCAACTTTTTCCAAGCGCTTCTTACTATCTAAAATTGACGATGATCCAAAATTTCAGATAAAAAATGGTAAAATTAATTATGAAGCTGCAATAAAACAAGCTGATTTACTTCTACCCGATGAAATAAAGGAACCTGCAAAAGCTGCTATAACTGCTTGTAGAAAAGTCTGTAAGTTACTTTCATTTTTTTAAATAATATAAGTAGATGGCAAGGTAAAGCACTATTTGTGAAAAATTATCCTAATGAATAGATTTATAGTCATGTAGAGGTGGTGCATATAACTTTTAAACGAATGGGTTAGCGAAACCGGAGAATTCCCACGCTCTTGCAGATACCAGCGTAAATGCAGCATAATGCTGTGCTTCGTATAGTGAGTGACAGGAGCCGATACCCACTTCACTAGTAATGAGATACTTCATCTTAGTGCTCAGGAATGACAATGGATTTGATTCTTCACAGAGAATAAATGTAAGCATCTATATGTTACGTAATCTCTTACTACCAGATGGCCTAAGTGCTCGTTTGTCACCCTTACTTGTATACATAGAGTACACTGGAAGTTCTGCGCTCCGCTCCGCTTATAAATATTTAAATTTCGAATGTTGTATTTTTCAAAGCATAAGAAACTCATGTTATATTGATTTAAATAACTTTTGGAGGGAAGTTTACCACAATTTAAAGTTCGTCATCCGTAGCAAACATGGAATTAACGTGAAAAGATTTCAGGGCGATGATTTTAGAAGTTCGCTCTCTAAGAAGCACCTCATTTAGCACCATAAGACGGTGGTAAGAAGAATTTGATCGTGGCGATGTTTCCCTCTATGATGAAATTCCTGAAGGCCAACCCTCGACTGCGAGCACTGAGGAAAATGTGGCTACTGTCGGGCGATTAATTACGGACATAGTGGCTGGATTCCTTAAGAAATCGCCCCAGAACAAAGACGGTCTCGAGTTGATTGATGTAAAGAAATATTATTAAAGTGTGACTGTGATTGTGACAAGAGATAAAATATGGACATATTGTTACATTCCGGAAAGAAAGCAACAGTCTTCTCTATTAGTCTCCGAAGGCGACAGCAAACCTACAAAATTTAGGCAGGCAAGAAGGGTTGACTAAAAAAATGATTGCGTTTTAATCTTGCAGACGTATCCTGTCTGCATGATACCACTTGGTGAGCAAAAGATGGTTAATTCCGAGTGGTAAGTCAGGGAAAAACAACCAAGAAGTCGCATCCTATTGCACCATGACAATGCTTCGGCTCACACCGCGAACAAGACAAAATCAATTTTGGATTCTGATAAGGTGGAGCTCGTGAGCCATCCTAGACACAATCTCTAGACTGTGTGTAGGATGGCTCATGCGGTCTACCTCGTACCATATTTTTTCCTTGTTTTACTAAAAATCAAAGATTTGATGAGAGGTTTGACATTTACGGAGACTGAAGAGGCCGTAATAGCTTTCAACCAGCTCATGAAAAACATTCCCTCTGACCATACGTTTTCCAAAATCGTTTGAATGAATCAAAAGTGTTCAAAATGTAATAGATATTACTTTGAAAAGCAGTAAATAGTTTACATAAAAATTTATTTATTTATGAGTTACGCAAAACTTTTAGTGTACCCCACGCAATAATAGTTAGAGTGAACTTATATTTATAGGCGACAGAGACTTACTGTCGATACTCATGGCATGCACCGTTAAATGTATGCAATATAATTAATAAGTGATAGAGCTCTTTTCCTGCCTGGGATTCTCTCTTGGTCAATACCATCCAAAAGGATATAGATATTTAATAATTTAAAATTAAAAATTTTGAACAACCGACTTCAATATAAATTATTAAAAATAACTCAAAAACTATTGGTCAAACCTTGATCAAATTTATATGGGACCACATGTGAAGCACCAGCTTTCAAATAAAAAAAGAATCATCGAAATCGGTTCACCCAGTAAAAAATTATGAGGTAACACACAAAAAAAACCATACAGTCGAATTGAGTGCCGTCTCCTTTTTGAAGACGGTAGAAAAGGTATTTATGCCTCTAAGTAGCAGTGCACCTATTATTGCATTTTAATTTAAAGCAAAAAAACAAAACTAATATTAATAATTATTATGAGGCATTCAACCCTACTCTTCATTATTTGGAGCTGGCTGCAGGCGTTGTAGGTTACTATCACCACAAACCTTTATCTGAATATTTAAAAGTAGCAATACTTGTATGTGTGTATATATATTTTTTTAAACTGAAGTGACAAACGAACTTACCGTCCACCTGATGGTAATAGGTACTGCGTTCCACAGAGCATGGACACCTGCATTGTTACTTCCGAGGACTGAAATAGAATGCTTCACAAACTGTAATTATACTGGTACCTCTATATTGTTTATCGAATATGGTTTGTCGAAAACGGTAGTACCGGTAGGATTTCGACGAATATTTTTATTTTCTAAGTTTAAGTTTAAAACAAAGAAGGTAAATTATTTTTTATCGATGCACCTGGTGGAACTGGAAAAACTGCCCATTCCACATTTAAACTACCTTTGAGTGTCTCCCTCCAGAAAGAATCCGTATGTTCCATACGAAAAAACAGGCCGCTGAGCAAACTTCTTCAAGAGGTCTGTCTCATAATGTGGGACGAATGTACGATGATGTATATGATGATATATTGAATACGTGACATCCCTGAGAAAATTGTAATTTTTCTTCTAACGCCATGCGAAGCTCATTCAAGTAATTATTGTGTATTTAAATGTGTAGTGGTGTTCGCAAAAAAGATGTTACGCATCCTATTACAGCGGTATCGGCTTAGCGCTCACTAGCCTATTTGCTCAATGTGGCGAGTATGGACAAACATGAAAACAAACTTGTGCCATCTTTCTTGGAACAGCCTATGTCCAGCTGCGGGCTAAAGGGCTGAAGACGATGACTCAAAAATATAATGACTTTTTTGATATGTTTAAGCGGATTCATACAGCAATATCTGCGAGGCATCATTCTACGTCACGAAATGCATTCACCGTGAGAACCCTTCCGTTTTCTTCTTTCCTTGACATAAAAATATTATGTTAATGTATGTAAAATAAAAAAAACAATGTAAACTTTTCTGTATATATTAAAGAATATGCATGTTAAACTTTTGTTACTGTGTTGTGTTATGTTATGTTATCTTTTAGCTTTATGAACATTTTTCAATACGTAAAGCAACAAACAATAACTACTGGTATAAATTTATTAATTTATTATATAAATATAAACTAATAATAATATAAATATTTTACAACATAATAATTTATGCGTTTTTTTTTTCGTCGACTTTTCTCATCATTCTCTGTAATAAATCAATGGAATTAAGTTAATTAAGTTAAAGCCCTGTAGTGGCGGTTAAGAATATCCACTATCCCATACCTTCCCATGGGTGTCGTAAAAGGCGACAAAGGAAAACAGGCAGGAGATGGGCAGCAGCATCTTCCTGATAACAACAAACTTACAATAAAAAAACTGCGGTTGCCAACCCGCTCGCCAAGTGTGGCAACTATGACAAATACCCCCCTATTATGAGAGTAACAAAGAAACGGCCCCCAGTCCCCGGCGGCCCCGCTATTCGTGACTACGGTGGCGACCATGGTAACGGCGGGGCACGGGGTGCTAAGAATCTCCGGTGGAGGTTCGGTTGCCACTTAAGACGACTCGACCTGGCAACATACAACGCACGCACTCTGAGGACTGACTAGAAGATCGTGAGCTGGAAGAAAAGATAGACAAGTTACGCTGGCATATTATAGGATTATCCGAGGTCCAAAGAGAAGGGAGGACACGGAATCCTCGAATCTGGCAACTTGCTCTATCAACGGGAGGGCGACCATCTGTCCCAAGGAGGTGTCGGATTTATCGTCCACAAGTCTCTTGTTAAAAACGTTGTAAAGATTGAGAGTGTGTCGACGAGGGTTGCGTACCTTACACTACAGGTTTACGCACCAACCTCGGCACATCCCGATGAGGAGAGGGAGGGGGGGGGGAATATATGAGGATATCTCTAGAGCCATGCATTCCTCCAAAACCCACTATACGGTGTTAATGGGAGACTTCAATGCAAAACTAGGCACAAGAAAGGAATGGGATAGGGCAACGGAACCCAAGGAGCCAGCAGCTGGCCGACTTCATGGAGAAAGAGGGACTCTTTATGATGAACTCTTTCTTCCAGAAGCGGCCCCACAGGAAGTGGACCTGGTCGAGCCCCGACGGTTCGACAAAAAATGAGATTGACTTCATTATGACGACCAGACGACAACTGTTCAGTGATGTCTCCGTGATCGCGAGGGTGAAATCTGGTAGCGATCACCGAATGGTTAGAGGCACACTGAACCTAAACGTTAAGTTGGAGAGGTCTCGTCTAATGAAGTCAATGCTCCGTCCCCCTCGTGCTCTGTTCCAAAGTTCCGAAACCTTTCAGCTAGAGTTACACCGTTTTCGGTGCCTAGAAGACTGCAATGAAGTGGACGATATCGACAAGCTCGTGGAAACTGTCCATGCGGCCGGAGCTAAGTTCTGCAAGACCCGCAGAAGAACACAAAAACTCTCCGATCACACTCTTAATCTCATGGGTGTTAGACGGGAGATGAAGAATAGAATAGAATAGAATAATTTTTATTCAATGTACATTACATGTGTAATTCTTATTGAAAGTCATGTTTTACTTTACCACTGGTTCGAAAAAAACCCTCTGTCCTGGAAAGAACCAGCAAGAAACCCAGCGGGACTTTTTTTTAAAATAAATTTTACTATATAAATGATTACGAACTATTTACAAAATTTATTTTAGAAACTTGAAAGGGACGAAGAGAGAACGAAGTGTGAAATATGGGTAAATCAGGAATGTCTAGAACAGGTAAATGAAATTGTATACTTGGGGAGTGCTTTTAGCCGGGATGGAAGATGTGATTTAGATGTGGACAGGCGTGTCGCTGCCGGGAACAAAGTCAATGGTGCCCTGACTGCGTTAGTCAAAAGGCAAGGCGTAGCGAAGAGTGCACGCCTTGCAATACATAACGCAGTGTTGGTACCGACTTTGTTATATGGCAGCGAAACCTGGGTATGCCAGAAGAAGCATAAGAGTAAGTTGAATGCAGTGGAGATGCGATCTCTTCGTAAAATGTGCGGCGTTACTATGGCCGACCGAAAGCGAAACGAAGAGATTCGCAATATGGCAGGTTTGAAAGATGACCTTATCACAAAAAGTGATAAGGGCGTGCTTCGGTGGTTTGGGCACGTTGAGCGAATGAGTGAAGACCGAATGGTGAAGAAAATATATAGCGCGAAAGTTAATATTAAAAGGTGTCGAGGTAGACCGAGACTAACTTTCGAAGACCATGTGAGCAAATTGCTCGAAGAGGGTAGGGTCAAGAGTACTCGGATACCTAGACGTGCATGTATGAAGAAGATAATGAATCTGAAAGAAGCGAAAGAGATATGTAAGGATCGTGACACTTGGCGATCTGTTCTCTCTGGCTACCCCGTCAGGGATTGTGCGTGAAGATAAGTAAGTAAGTAAGTAAGTATTTTAGAAACTGCTTGGAAGCGACCACCTCATTCCCACGGGTTATTATCAACCATGTATTCATTTATATTATAATAACCCTTTTTATACAGTTTCAGTTTAATAAAACATTTAAACTTGGTAATAGAGAGAACCTGTACACTTTCCGGGATCTTGTTGTAATAGCGTATACATTGCCCTAAGAATCAATTACTCTGTGGAGTCGAGATACTGGCATCAGTAGCTTGTGTTTGTTCCTAGTGTTTACAGAATGTATATCGCTTTTTTTTACTAAAACTATCGTTGTTTTTCAAAGTTAATGTATTTATTTCTTTAAATTTATCTCTAAGAGACTCTCTCGGTTTTAGATTGTAAATAGCTCTAATGGCCCTATTCTGTAAAATAAAAATAGTTTCTGAATCAGCCGCATTTCCCCATAGCAAAATCCCATAAGATATTACAGTCCCAATATCACACTTCTACATCCAGCAGTTTGGAATGTGTGTCTTAATATAATAATTTCATACAAACTTTGTCCCCTTGTTTTAAAATCTGAATATTTAATCATTTCAGTTCAAAACTATTTGAACCAGCTTTCAATTTTATTTTCTCTCCATACAAATATGAACACACTCTCGTCTCTCTCCAAAATTCTTTCTTATTGGATGCCTACATCTTCATTCGTCATCATCATTCGGAATTATACGTCGAGCGGTTTGGGCTGTGCGTTGATAGATATAGAGCCAGTCACTCAGTACATCTTCTTTTATATTAGATAGATAGATTATCCGATAAAACCTCAATTTAATTTTAAGTATCTTTTGAAATATTTTAAGGACATCATTACGAGTGATACTGATCTTAAATAGATAATAAGTGTATTTATATGAATAATGATGATGATTACTGTAATCATGACAATAATATCGTTTTTAGAGACAATAGCAGAAATATAAATAAAAATTACGCTTTAAAGTTTTACCTGTATTAAAGTAAATGATCGAGAGGCAAGATGTCAATTTTGATATTGGTACAATGTTTCTGTTTTATCGGCGCAACTATGGCTATGGTAAGTTCTCATTTAAATTTGAATACTTCATAATACCTAAAGGATTTAATGCAGTACTTTAATGAAGGATAGTAATAGCATTCGTTCGCTAATAAAAAGTAAAAGCAACGCTCTGTGAGCGTCCCATCTTGAGCGTTTTTTTTATAGGATAAGGGTGATAAACAAGCACCCAGTCCACCTTATGGTAAGTAGTTGATGTGGCCCATGGACATAGTCCTCCATTCTCATTCCATCCTCAATCAAAATGCCGATGCGTTGTCACCCGTGAGGACTAAGATAGAATGCCTCGTTTCCAGTAAATGGGGTCTCCAATTCTCTACACTCACCATACGAACACAGTAGCGCTAAGCTGCTATTTTATGCTGGTATTCTGTGAGAGGTTGGTCCTACCCCGGTCGAGCCGACCCATTTATGCTACAACTATACTACTGGTATAACTGCAGCATGGCTCTACCACGTAAAAAAAGAGTACTACCAAAATTACAGATATATATATATAAAGACCATGAAAGAAGAGTATCTAGAAATATATTACTTTAATAGAATATGTGCTTACCGTGTAGTGGCTGTGTAGTATGCACCACCCCAAATCATCCCGTTGGTGGTGTTAGAGGCGACATAGGGAAACAAATCAGGAGATGCGAAGCAGCGTCTTCCTTATAATGACTAAAAATAAAAAAAACTGCGACTGCCAACCCACTTGCCAAGCGTGGCAATTATGGAAAATATAGGGGATATTTTCCAATGAGGCAATCTATGGGGGAGACCTATGTTCAGCAGTGGAATTTAATAGGTTGTAACCGTAGAATATGTGTATATAATAATCACACTTAATTAAGAAGCCCATATATAAACCGTAGAAAATAAGTAAAAATTTATTCTCTGTAATTTTATAAATAACGTAAACGCGTTAGACAGTTTCGAAAGGTTGCGATTAGTTTCGCTACATAATCCAAACTCACTGTTCAAAATTGAACTAGAATTAAATTGCAAATATTAATTAGTATTTTTAATTCAATTCCATAACGCAAAATGTTAGGCGTAATCCTTGATTTTGTGATGCTTCGATAGTTTTCATCACCAATCATGCGTTTTTCATGCGCAGTCAACTTAATTAAAATTAATAGATGTTGTTGAGCCAATTAGCAACATTTATTCAAGCATATTAGAACGCTTGGTAAAGACTTTCACTTAATAAGGATTAAATTTTAATTTAAAACAACCATCACAAATTAATGGTTTTCTACTAATTCAGTGCTAGCTCGATTAAATGTTAACATTTGATGATTCTGCTTCTACAAAACCGCTTTCTTTGAAAATAAATTAGCACTCGATTGCTATAAATTGTTTAGTGAGACTACCAAAATTAAAAAGCTGCTTTTATAGATATAAACATGTGATTTAATCAATATAACTTATAATAATAGGATTGGCTCGAATTAGTTCCC